CTGAGGAGTGTACGCTGGTGACTGAGGTGTGTGTGACCCTGACTGAGGTGTGTGTGCCTCTGACTGAAGTTTGTGTGCCTGTGACTGAGGAGTGTGTGCTGGTGACTGAGGCGTGTGTGCCCATGGCTGAGGAGTGTGTGACCATGACTGAGGTGTGTGTGACTGTGACTGAGGTGTGTGCCTGTGACTGAGGTGTGTGTGCCCATGACTGAGGAGTGTGTGACTGTGACTGAGGTGTGTGCCTGTGACTGAGGTGTGTGCCTGTAACTGAGGAGTGTGTGACCATGACTGAGGTGTATGCCACTGACTGAGGTGTGTTTGCCTGGGACTAAGGGTGTGTGACCATGACTGAGGTGTGTGTGACCATGACTGAGGTGTGTGCCTGTAACTGAGGTGTGTGCCTGTGACTGAGGTGCGTGTGCCTGTGACTGAGGAGGGTGTGACTGTGACTGAGGAGTGTGTGACAGTGGCTGAGGTGTGTGTGACCCTAACTGAGGTCTGTGTGCCTGTGACTGAGGTGTGTGCCTCTGACTGAGGTGTGTGCCTCTGACTGAAGTGTGTGTGCCTGTGTCTGAGGTGTGTGAGCCTGTGACTGAGGTGTGTGTGCCTGTAACTGAGGAGTGTGTGACCATGACTGAGGTGTATACCACTGACTGAGGTGTGTTTGCCTGGGACTAAGGGTGTGTGACCATGACTGAGGTGTGTGTGACCGTGACTGAGGTGTGTGCCTGTAACTGAGGTGTGTGTGATCATGACTGAGGTGTGTGTGCCCATGACTGAGGTGTGTGTGTTCATCACTGAGGCATGTCCCTACATCTGAGGTGTGACTACATGTCTGAAGCATGTATACCCGTGACTGAGGTGTGTCCCTATCCCCGAGGAGGCATGTGCCCTTACCTTTGAGGTTTACCTGGGTCCTCCCCAGGAGGAAATAGCGCTGGAGCTCATTAACTGCAAGAACTACAAGCTGCAGCTGCACCAGCACTCCTACCTACGCAGCAGCGTCATCCTTGCCCTGTCTTTGCTCATGGTACTCCTGGGGAACCCATGTGGGGGCTGGGGACCCAGCTGGGCAGCCCTTCCCCAGCCTCACCCTTGCTGCTGCCCTGCTGCAGATTTGCCTCATGATCGGCATGGCCCATGTCCTGGTGGTCTACCGTGTGCTGGCTGCTGCCCTCTTCAGCAGCTCGGCCTTGCCGTTCCTGGAGGAGCAGGTGACCACAGCCGTGGTGGTGACTGGTGCCCTGGTACACTATGTGACCATTGTCTTCATGACCAAGGTGCGGATGGGGATGGGACTGTGGGGGCAGGCCGGGTATCTGCTGAGGCCTGGGGAGCCCCACTCAGTATTCCCCTCCTGCAGATCAACAAGTTTGTGGCGCTGAAGCTCTGTGACTTTGGTGAGAGGAAGGCCCTCAGCCCTCCCTGGGGACACAGTGGGAGGATCCGGGACTGGGAGGGTTTTTTTTTTTTTTTAAGACAGAGTCTCACTTTGTCACCCTGGGTAGAGTGCATGGCATCACAGCTCAGAGCAACCTCAAACTCTTAGGCTCAAGTGATTCTCTTCCCTCAGTCTCCTGAGTAGCTGGGACTACAGGTGCCTGCCACAACACCCAGCTATTTATTAGAGACCAGGGTCTCGCTCTGGCTCAGGCTAGTCTCAAACCTATGAGCTCAGGCAATCTCCTCAACTCTGCCTCCCAAGTGCTGGGATTATAGGCGTGAGCCACCATGCCCTGCCTGGGCTATGAGTTTTGGAACCATGATCAGAAACCTGGGGAGGGGTCTTTCCTGCTATCCCTGGGACCTCTCCCTCAAGTAGGCTGGCTGCTCAGACCAAGAGAGAAGTGAGGGCTTGGGGACAGGATGGCAAGGGATAGGCCATGTCTCATTCCAGAGAAGCCCAGGACCTTCTCTGAGCGGGAGAGCAAGTTCACCATCCGGTTCTTCACCCTGCAGTTCTTCGCACACTTCTCCTCCCTCATATACATTGCCTTCATCCTGGGCAGGTAGGCGCTGCACCAACCTCCCTCTGACTCAACCTGTGTGGGTGTGTTTGCACGCCTTTAGAAGTAGCAATACCTCTTCTTGTATGTTTTTTCAAATAATTCATGCTCAGAACAAGTAGAAACTGAATATAGAAATGTGCGAGTGAAGCCTGGAGTGACCCCACCCCCTTGATCCCATGCCAGTCCAGTGGGCCTTCTCAGCTCTCACAAATTGCGTGCATACACACATCCACTGAGAAAAGTGATTTTGTCCTGTGAATAATTATACCCACTTTTACCCTGAAAATGTACATGGATGTTTTCTGCATGGTTCTATATCCTGTGTGGGATATACTTGGATTTATTTAACCACTTCAGCTGGTGGACATCGGCTATTTCCAGTTCTGTGCTGCAGTGAGTGTTACACACACCTCTGCTTGCCTCATCTTCCTAATTAGTGAAGTGAGTCTTTCTGTCTTTATTTATTTATTTATTTATTTGAGACAGAGTCTCATTCTGTTGCCCTGGGTAGAGCACCATGGCATCATAGCTCACAGCAACCTGCCACTCCTGGGCTCAAGTAATCCTCCTACCTCAGCCTCCTGAATAGCAGGGACTACAGGTATCCACCACAACACCTGGCTAGTTTTTCTATTTTTAGTAGAGACAGTGTCTCCCTCTTGCTCAGGCTGGTCTTGAACTCCTGAGCTCAAGCAATATGTTCACCTTTAAGTGGGTCTTTGTGGCTCAAACGATACATGCCTTTTTGTTTTCACTAAAGAAAATCATTGAGGCTCGGCGCCTATAGCTCAACCGGC